TGAAAAGGTGAAGACACCAAAGACTCGAAACATGGGTGCAAAGGTGCTGGTAAGCAGCTCTGAAGAAAACCCGGATAGTAAAGTGTGTGTGTTTTGTGAGAAGTCAAATCATGGTATTCATGCATGTCGACAGTTCATGGACAAGTCAATCGCAGAGCGAGTCAAGTTTGTGCAAACAAAAAAATTGTGTTTTGGATGTTTGAAACCAGGACACCCCTCAAAGAACTGTGAAAAGAAAAGTGTCTGTGACACATGCAAAATGAAGCACCCAACGTGTTTGCATGAAGACCGTATGAAGGAAGACGGAAAGAGCGAACGTAAAGATAGTGGGAAACACTCAAAGGAGAAGGAAAGATCAAAGGAAAGGACGGATTCTAAACAGAAGAATGAAACCTCAAATGAAGCAACATCTAACCGAGTGGTACAAGACATGGACAGCACCTACACATCCACAGTTATTCCAGTCTGGCTGTCCACAACAAGCAACCCTGAGAATGAAGTCCTTGTATACGCACTTCTGGACAATCAAAGTGACACCACCTTCATCTTGCAAGAAAGGGCAGAAACTCTGGACACACAGAAAGAGCCTGTGCAATTAAAGCTCTCCACATTATCATCCAAAGGTACAGTCATTCCAAGTCAGAAGTTAACTGGGCTGCAGGTCAGAGGGTTTTATTCATCAAAGAAAATCACTCTCCCAGTAACCTATTCAAGAGAGTTCATTCCTGTCAATTTAAGTCATATTCCCACACCCACTCCCACACCTTCCCTTCAGTCGTCTCCTAGTCTCCCAAATCAAGTTCGATATATATGCCTGACACAAGTCAAGGAATTAGTCACTCCGCCAGATGTGTTAAAGATACCCGAATCCGACTTCAATGAAAGAAATGTCGAGGACTCTCACTTCTCTCAAGAAGACCTACGCTTCCTATCAATAATGGAGGAAGGAATCAAGGTCAGTGCAGACGGTCACTGCGAAATGCCGTTGCCATTTAAGGAAGACAAGCCTAGTCTGCCAAACAACCAGAGATGTGCAAATCATCGTCTCAAGTGTTTGAGAAAGAGATTTGAGAAAGACAAGCAATACCATAAAGACTACACAGCCTTCATGAGTGAAACGATAACTCGTGGAGACGCTGAGAAGGTTCCAGTTGACGAACTTGACAAGAGTCCTGTCTGGTACATCCCTCACCACGGGATGTATCACCCACAAAAACCCAGAAAGATACGGGTCGTGTTTGACTGCTCAGCAAAGTTCCAAGGGGTGTCGTTAAATGATCATCTGCTTACTGGGCTGGAATTGACGAATACTTTGATAGGTGTTCTTTGTCGGTTTCGCAAGGGTCCAGTTGCAATAATGTGCGACATCGAACGCATGTTCCATCAATTTCATGTTAGAGCAGAAGACCAGGACTATCTGAGATTTATCTGGTGGGACAAACGGGGATTTCCAATCTGAACCATCAGTCTACCGAATGAGAGTGCACCTGTTTGGGGCAGCCTCATCACCTGGCTGTGCAAACTACGGCCTCAAGCACATTGCCGCTCAAGGACAAGGTCGCTTCAGTGAAGCATCCATCCGCTTCATTGAAAGAAACTTTTATGTGGATGATGGTTTGATGAGTGTGGCAACAGAAGAGGAAGCGATTCAGTTAGTCAGGGAACCATGGCAACTTTGCAGCACTGGTAAGCTACGAATCCACAAGTTTGTTTCTAACTGCAAGCGGGTACTTGAATCACTCCCTGAAGAAGAGTGTGCTGAAACCGCAAGAAATCACGACTTAGCCTTGGGTGAGCCGCAGATTGAGAGAGCCCTAGGTGTTAAATGGTGTGTCACTTCAGACCACTTCGAATTCAGAGTAGTTGTGAATGAACGTCCGCTCTCTAGAAGAGGAGTCTTGGCGACAGTAGCCTCCATCTTTGACCCTTTCGGCTTTGTAGCGCCTTTCATTCTACTCGGGAAGCAAATACTTCAACAACTGTGTCGTGACAAGATCGGATGGGATGAACCATTATCGGATGATATTTGTTCCCAGTGGGAGTCCTGGCTCTTGGATCAACAGAACCTAGCTGATGTCAAGATTCAGTGATGTTACCTACCAGCAGATTTCAGAGAAGTCCAAAGATATGAACTCCATCACTTCTCAGACGCAAGTGTCACAGAGTATGGAGAATGCACTTACCTGAGAGCAATCAGTGTATCAGGACAAATCTACTGTTCTCTAGTCATGAGCAAGGCCAGAGTGGCCCCCACGAAGGTCACTACAGTGCCACGACTTGAGCTGTCAGCAGCTGTTGTTGCAGTACGTACAAGTAACATGCTCAGAAAGGAGTTGGAGATAGACTATGCACAGGAACTTTTTTGGACGGACTCAAGGGTCGTTCTCGGATACGTCAACAATGAGGCCAGACGATTCCATGTATTTGTGGCAAATCGCATTCAGCGTATCAAGCAAAGTACCAATCAAAGTCAATGGAGACATGTGACCTCTGAAGAAAACCCCACCGATCATGCGTCAAGAGGCCTTAAAGCGAAGGAGCTCATTATCTCCAACTGGTTCATGGGTCCAGACTTTCTCTAGCGTGACGAGCTTCCCAGCGGAGACGTTAAGGTGGGAGACCCTGCAGCTGATGACCCTGAAGTTCATAAGGCTGTTGTGCAGAAGACCTCAACAACAGGACATTGACTGCTCGATCGCTTCCTTAAGTTCTCCAGCTGGACAAGGTTAGTCAAAGCCATTGCCAGACTCACGCGACGTGTCAAAGAGCTTAAAGGTTTGGCATCAAGAAACAATGAAGCCACAAGTCTCGAAGAGAGAAAGGATGCAGAACTTACTATCATAGGCACTGTTCAAAGGGAAGCCTTCTCTGAGGAGATCCAAAGTCTTCAACACAAGAGAGAGATAACAACCAAGGATAAAGCCAGCAGGCTGTACAGCTTGAATCCTTTCTTGGACCCGCAAGGCATCCTCAGGGTGGGAGGTCGACTAGAGCATGCTGCCTTGCACCCACACATCAAGCACCCAGCACTCTTGCCAAGGACCAGCCACATATCCAAATTACTGATCCAGTACTATCACCAACAAGTGCAGCACCAAGGCCGTGGCATGACAGTGAATGAGCTACGCTCAAATGGCATCTGGATACTTGGATGTAGTCATGCTGTGTCGTCCTACATCTACAAGTGTGTCAAGTGTAGGAAGTTTAGAAGGTGCACCGAAGAACAAAAAATGGCAGACTTACCGCGTGAACGCATGGAGACAACTCCTCCCTTTACGTATTGTGGGATGGACTGTTTCGGCCCATTCTATGTCAAGGAGGGAAGAAGAGAGCTGAAGCGTTATGGCCTGCTATTTACCTGTCTGTGTTCTCGTGCTGTGCACATAGAGCTGCTTGACGACATGACGACCGATGCCTTTCTCAATGCTCTTCGTGCCTTCATTGCCCTACGAGGGAACGTTCGACAACTTCGATCTGACCAGGGCACTAACTTTGTTGGAGCAAGATGTGAGTTTGTGAAAGCTGTAAAAGAGATGGACCAAGAATGCCTAAAGCAACTAGGCTGTGAGTTTGTCATGAATCCTCTATCCACCAGTCATATGGGCGGAGCCTGGGAGAGGCAAATCAAGACAATAAGAAGTGTGTTGACATCCGTTTTGGATCAGCCATCTCGAAGACTCGATGATTCCTCTTTGAGAGCTTACCTCTATAAAGTCATGGCAATCATAAACAGCAGACCTTTAACAGCACACTTACTCAATGATCCAGCTGGGCCACAGCCTCTTACGCCAAATCACATCTTAACGATGAAGTCGTCCATAGTCTTGCCACCACCTGGAGACTTTGTGAAGGAAGACCTTTATCTTTGCAAAAGATGGCATAGAGTGCAATTTTTGGCCAACGAATTCTGGTCTAGATGGAAAAGGGAGTACCTGTTAAACCTGCAACAGAGACAAAAATGGCACAAGACACACCAAAATGCAAAGATCAACGATATTGTGATTGTACAAGACGACACTGCACCCTGAAATGAGTGGAAGCTAGCTAAGGTCACTGAAGTGTACCCTGGTCAAGATGGATGTGTGAGGAAGCTACGATTGTTGATCAGTGACTCTGCACTAGATGACCAAGGAAAGCGACTCACTAAGTCAACCTACCTAGAGAGGCCTATCCACAAGACGGTTACCCTGCTTGAAGCTGAGTAATGCAGCCTTACTGTCTCTACCAGTCCTTACACCAGGTCTCATAAATAGTTTGAGTTAGATTCTACACTATTAAGTTAATTAGGGGAAATCACCAGTGATTTGGTGGGAGTGTAGCTGCCATCAGAGGCAGTTAAACAGTTTAAGTTCATTTAATATTTTTTGAGATAAAAACAAGAATAATTTACGTTTTAGGAAAGAATATGATTTGTTAATAAATACAAATAAATAACTTGATAAACAATTGGGAACATAAAATCTGGTAACATACATCTTATATTTCATAGAGGAACTAATGTTCTTTTGTTGCTGTGGGTCGGGTCGGTTTTGTTGCTACACCTGTATATGCATGTGTGCATTTTACCAAGATTTGGACTACATGAAGACTTGTTAAGCCTGAAGTTTCCTTTCTAACTTCCCTTGAGTTAACGCGGCCAATGAGATCTCACAGCATGTTGGACGGCATGTTTGATCGCATGTTTGATATCATGGATGTGCAAATAAATGCCCGTTACTCCAAGAACGCTTAGGGCTCGTGCTTTCAACTGGAGGGGAGTTATAATCACCCTCATTCGGCTAGCAGGATGTGAAGCTTTGCTTTCTAAAGCAGACATCACCAGCGCACTCAAAGTTTTGCCCATTCATCCTGACTTCTGGCGTTTTTTCAGCATTTGCTGGAAGGGGGCATATTATTTTTCTGTGCGCCTTACTTCTGGCTGCAAAAGCAGTTCTAAGATCTTCGATTCTCTTTTAGAAGCCATATGCTGGATCCTTACTAACAACCACAGGTTCCCTTACATTCTCCATCTTCTCGACGATTTTCTTGTCGTCACTCCACCATCCTCACCTCCTCGCCACGGGCTCAATACGCTCACTAAAGCTTTCTCTGAACTCGGCGTCCCTCTTTCCAAGGAGAAAACATCAGGACCTGGCACTTCCATTGAGTTCCTTGGCATCACCCTGGACTCAATTTCCTTCCAAGCATCTTTGCCCTTGGAGAAAATACAGCACATCTCTCTGCTTCTGTCAAACTACCCCCTGGCAGACAGATGCACCAAACGCCAGCTGTTAGCCCTCCTTGGCCATCTCAATTATGCCATCCGCATAATCCCTCAAGCTAAATTTTTCTTGTCCATCCTTTTGTCTAAGGCTGCTGCCATTCACTCTCTCCACAGTAGGGTCATTCTGGATGATGCCTGCAAAATGGAATTGCGCATGTGGCTACATTCCCTATCTTCTTGGAATGGCATTTCCTTCCTCTACAACGACTTCATCACCCAGCCTGAGGACATTCAACTTTTTACAGACGCGGCTTCCTCCACAGGTCTTGGCAGCTACTATGGAGGGAGATGGTTCACCTCCGCTTGGCCCCCAGAGTTCGAATCCTTCGACTCAGAGTCCCGCTCTCCTTCCTCCTGCGCTTCACGAGCTGTATCCCATCATAATAGCTGCCATTCTTTGGGGGCACAAATAGTCTAGGAAGTCCATACTTATCCACTCCGATAACACTGCAGTCATAGAGATCCTGAACAAAGGTCGATCTCGTTCTTTAGCCATCATGCAGTTCCTGCGCAGACTCGCCTTATTCTCAGCTCAACACCAGTTCATCCTCCGGGCAGCCCACATTCCCGGTCATTACAACAACATCGCTGACTCATTGTCTCGCTTCTCTTTACAGAAATTCAGACACTTGGCCCCAGAATCAGATCTTCACCCAACACCTATCCCACCATTTTCAGCCACAATATTCAACTAGCTCCACAGCCGTCAAACCTCTCTCATGCTTCACAAGAACAGTCTTGCCCCAAGCACACTCTCAGCCTACCTAACTGGCTGGAATTGCTTCAAGGCATTTCACTCCACCTACCAGCTACCTTTTCCCTCTCTGGACGTCATGTCCATCTGCAATTTCATCACCCATGCTCATTCCATCCAAAAAATACGGACCTCCACCATCCAGTCCTACTTAGCAGGAATCAACTTCATCAAACTCGTCACTGGCTTCCATTGTCCTTCAACCTCCCATTCTCACGTTACTATGTTAATAAAAGGCCTGCGTAAAGGCCTCGATTCTGGTTCCAGAAACACTTACACCAAGTCCTACGCATTTCGGGTGTATCTCCAGAACTCTATTCTAGCCACTCCTTCCGCATCGGCGCAGCATCCACAGCAGCCAGACTAGGCATCTCAGACCAAACCATTCAGGTCCTAGGCCGCTGGTCATCCCAAGCATATCATTCCTACATCCGCAACAATCTTGACGATCTCTGTCAAGCTCATGTTCAAATCAGTTCAATTTAAATCTGACTCTTTTGGGGGCCAGTGATCAGCTCGGGTGGATATATACGCCTGAGATGGAACCTCCACACTGAGTCTCCCTCCGCCCGGTCTTCAATACATCCTCCCAGACCAGCCTAACAGATGACATCTTCCCTCTACCTCAACCACATCCATTCATCTATTCTCAACATTCAATAACTCCTGTATTTCATTAAACCTTTAAACAACATATTGTTGTGGTGTGGTTCTTGCTAGTGAACAGTGGTTTAATTTCACCACAGTTACAAACAATGTGGATGCTTAGGGCAACAACATATGAGGGAGGCCAGATGCTGCTCTGCAGGGAGGACAATTTGCATGCAACTGCCACATTAAAAGGTGAAGAGGGAGGAGGGGCTCGACTGAAAGTTGTCGGGTGTACAATACACCTTTAACTAAGAATTGATGCCATGGACCAAATTTAAAAAATTAAGATAAAATAAAAATCTAAAACCATTGCTGTATTATTCAAAACTAAACTTATCTTGAACCAGAACTCAATATGTATACTGTCTTGTTCTCTCGTAGTTTCATTTGTTACCTACTGTGTGGACTGGAGGTATGGACAAACACATTGTGACCAACACTATTTATTCACTTGTGAGTTGATCTTAAAAATTTAATGTCTAAAGCATAAAATAATTTTCCTGGTAATTGTATTTAGTGGTGGTTTGAAATTAGAGAGAGCCAATATGAATTTAGGGAAATAGGTAGACAAGGGTAAGGACACATCTAAACAATAAATCTATATTTGTCAAAAGAGCTTACTTGTGGAATGGATGCGGCAAGGCATGTAGTTCACTTTTAAAGATGTTTAAAAATCACATGGCAAACATATTAAAAAGTATGATTATTACTATTGTGTTTCAAATGTTTGGAACCTTATTTGTGTTGTGTTTTGTTTTCTTTTGTTTGTTTTTGCACGGCCAAAATCTAGTGACATGGTTGCTTAATAGTATATACTATGTCAAAAGAGTAAGTACAATAATTTCAGCCTACAACTTTTCAGTCAGTAATTTTTGTTTTCCTTTTCATTGTAATGCTTTGTTATTTATTCTTTTTTATGTGCATTATTTTTGGGAAATTGCCAACATGGAACAAAATAAAGTACTACTCCTGCTGAAAAGGACAATGCTATGTTTGAAACACTCCCAGAACGTGAAGGAGGAGCTACAACAAAGTTTAAAATTGTTTACAGTATGTTGGAATTAATTTACTCCAGCCTCCTTATAATGCAGCTTGCAGGACTTGTCTTTCTTTTATCTCTTCTGTGGTCAGTAAACAACATACAGGATGTCAAACAAACACATTTCCACAAACCTATTCCCTCTCTGAAGTAGTGCACCTTGCTGTCAGTGATCCATCGGCAGATGAGAAACTTGAAGGTGTCTCCCTCAGGGGATTTCACTTCCACCTTGGTGGGAAACCATTTGTCCGGATTTTGGGAAGGCTGTTTGTCCAGCTTTATCATGACCAGCTTTCCAATGGAGACAGGGCAGGACACGGTAAAAGTAGACACCTGGAGTAAAGACAGAAATGGTTTGAAAACATTTATATGAGAGATAAAGTGTATCTGGTAACAAAGAA